CCTTGCTTTCTACTTTCTTGAAAAATTTGCAGTCAGAGAGAACTTCTGCAGGTTCCCTTTATATTCATCATTAGGCCATGTAAGATTAGAGTAACACCTTTAGTCTTGATGATAATTTTTGTCTTAAAGTCTGTTTTGCTTGTTAATCATTGACATTAATCATTTGTGGGGGGGGGTTATATAATTTTCTGTTCTTTTCCTTTCAACCTTCATATGTCCTTACGTATGAGGGAATGGACACTAAACAGTAACGCAGTTGTTTACAATTAGGCAAAGTGTCCTGAAGGAAAATAGTGTGTAAAATGTATATATTAAGGATCTTAGTAGTCTGTAATGTACCAAAAGCCACCCCAAGAAGTAATACTATTCTGATATATGTGGAGAGTAGCCATCAAGAGTGTGGAAAGCCAGAGATTTGAAAAAAAAAAACTGTTTATGTGACATTCTTTATAGCTGGAGAGAGCTAGGGTGTGAGTGGCCCAAGATGAAACTGGAGATGTGGGCAAAGGCTTTGACCAGGGAAGAGCAGTCACATTTCCCCACCTTAAGTTGGTGTTAAAGGTCCCTGCATAGCTTGGAAATTGAGTAATGTGAGTTGTTCTTTTTGATTCTGTAAATTATTGTACTTAGTTTTATTCTCCATCATATTTTTGGGGTGAAATGTTGTAACTTTTCTGTATTTCACAAATCCACAAACCTGTCATCTTTTTCACCTTGTATTAAAGTCTTGCTGACCAAGAAGGGGGTCTGATATGAAACAACTCCCTCAAGACTTCACAGTAGCCTCATTCAGCCTTACACTTGTTCATTTCTGTCTTCTTGGAGAGGGCAGTATCCTGCTTCCTTTCCATGGCTTAACTCTTCTACCATCTACATCTTCTGTCCTCTTAGTTTCTTAGTGAATAGACTAATAAAACAAATGCCAAATTTTCATTGTCCAGAACTGACAGCCTAGTTTTTGAAATTATTGCATATAATCTTTTTTAAAGGGAGGTGGGAACAGATAAATCTCCAGTTGCCCTTAACTACTCTCTCAGTCATCCGCCCTGCCCCGACCTTATAGGACATTTGAAAAATACTTTCTATATATGTGGAACAAAAGAAACGTACATAAAAATATCCAGTGTACCTCGTAAAGATGTTTTTCTGCCTGCTGGGTGGAGGTCAGTTTGGTGGGTAGTAGCAAGACTGAATATGGAGAGACAGGAAATGATTGTCAGTTGTTCCATTGAAACATAAATGATAGAGGTGTTTAGAGTGGTTGACAGTAGAGATGGAGAGAGAATAGTGAATAGGCTAGAAATCTAAAGAGGTAGGACTGATAGGAATTAATGAATCATGGATGAGAGAGTAAAGGAGAAGGCATTGTCAAGGATAACGGTCAGGTTTTTGACATAAGAAACTGAGGGTAATAATTGTGCTATTCACTGAGCAAGGAAAAGCTAGAAAAGGAGCAGAGTGGGGTAGTTCAGAGATGTCTAATTTGGTTTTGGACGTAAAGAGACTGTGGTGCCTTTGTGAAATCTAAATGGAAATGTAAGTGGCTATTTGGGTGGACTTCTATAGAGCTCAGAGAAGAGCTGAGGTGGAGAAATGAAATTACTGACGTAGGGATTGTATTGAAAACTGTAGGTATAGAAGAGGTCACTTTAGTGGGTGGGGAAAGGACCTAGACTTAGGACTAATTTATGAGGTTAAGTAGAGGAAATTAAGTCTACAAAGTAGGATGAGAAGTAACAGCCAAAAAAAATAGGGAATCCTGGAAGCCAAAGAAAGACATTAGTTTAAGGAGGAGAGATTGTGGTTAGATATAGAATGCTGCTTGGACATTAAGATAAGGGCCAAACTATGTCTGTTGGATTTAGAGATAAGGGCTCATTAAGCAGATTTCAGATGGAATTGGGTTGGAGAGCGAGTATAAGAGGTAAAGAAATAGAGGCAGGGAATTAAGAAAACTCTTCAGTTGGTGTGAAAGAAGAGAACTGTACCTGTAAGAGATGTGAGGTTGAGGTGCTAGGTAGGGGAATTTTTTTTTAATGAATAAAAGAATAAATGGGTGGTCCAGGTGAGTGTTAGAGGTTGATGAGTGCCAAGGAATAATCAATAATGTAAGGTTCTAGGTAGAAGAGGGAGGATTAACTGTAATACCTGTAAAGAAAGGGATTGCCTTTGGATTGAACAGAAGAACAATATGGCAGAAAGTGTTGTTCTAATTTGGTAAATTATATATGTTAATATATTTAGTACTTTGTTGTAGATTGTGACGAGTAGAGGGTTGAGAGTCTTTTATTCCATGTATGAGATGTAACTCCCATTTGATAATTTTATCATTTTCTACTGCCAGCTACTTTTGATTACCTCTGCTAGGAAAACCCACTTTTTTCCCCTGACAAAAAACAAATATATGCAGTAAACAGACTGGTTAGTTGGGAAGATTAATGTGTACATACGATGTCTTTCCCTCCTGTGTTTAGGGTATTTCATTTTTATTCCACTCCAGGGAGTTTGGCAGCTTGTATTTCCACTTCTTGTGACTTTTTTCTTGTGTTTTTTGAATTATATGAAAATTCCACTATGGGGGGAGATTCTAGTAGAATTTGCAGACTAAAGTTGACCTTAATAGTAGTTGGTGTCATGAGCAGAAAAAATATAACCCTTTTCTTTAGGAGACTTGTATGTTAGAGTGGGTTTTTGAAAAGAATACTTCTTTGTGGTATAAAATTAAAGAGGTACAAAACTATGTATTTGAAAGAGTGACTCCTGTTCCCGACTAGTGTTACCATTTTCTTAGGTATTCTCCCAGAGATTCTGTGCATCTACAAATTCATATATAAATTTGTTCTTTATTTATACAAATGATATAATGTACCTTTTTTTGTTCATTTAACACTATATGTTGAAAATTGCTCCATATTTGTATGTAAAGAACCTTTTCATTCTTTATGACCACACTATGTGGACATACGATGGTGAGCACACTGGTGTCCAATTGATGATTGATGCCAGTATTTTTGTTTGATTTTGGGTAAATTTAAGTGGTTTTGATTGCAACACTGGTTGCCTTTTTTAGTCAGCAGAGTCATTGTAAATCTTAACACTTGAAGAACTTAAAAGAAAATCGTTTGATTATTGTGTTATATCGAAGACATTGATATTGTCATGTTTTCTTACAAGGAAAACCAGTCTCCATTCATTGTGCTACCCATGCTATTTATTTATTGAAGAAACAAGAGTTTTATGGTCATTCTAACAAATTTACAACCTGATGTTACAGATGGTATGTACTTTTTAAAAGGAACAGTGCCTTCTGCTTTAAAGAATTGAGACTTCCGATGCTTGTACTTTATGGCTGACATTAATTTCATTTGAGTATATTTATCAGATATTTCAGCTTTAAGAAAAATCTTTATTCCAGAATATATAACTTCACTTTTTACAGAAGAATCAACTCTCATTTTGATTCAGTTAGAAAATCTTGGCTTCTCCCTCAGACCTGGGGTTATTTCATATCTATGAATATTTTATTTCCTGTTTGTGTTGCAAATATACTTCATTTATGATATTGGAAGTTTATTGATTTAACTTTTACTCCCTGTGTTGGCTTTCATAGGTGTTACTTTCCTTTTGGAGTGGTGTTAGAAATAACAGTTTATGCTTATTTGAATTTAACTCAAAAATTAGTAGTGATGCAAATATGCTCACGATATAGACTACCATTGGATTGTCTTAAATTCATAAATGTTTCCAGGGGCCATGAATGTGCTAAACATCACCAGAATGCATGTTTTATCAGCATCCGATAACAGGGCCATAAAAAAGGAAAAGCATATATAGGATATCTGTGTTTACAGAAAGCAAAAGCTAGGCTTGGCATGTTAGATCAGTAAAAGGATTTTTCAGGTATCTTCTAGTTGCTACCTACCAGGCTTTCAACTGTCAGGTAACCTGATGGAGTGAAGTGATGGAGATGTCTTATTGTACCTGACTACATAGTCTGGCTTAGTGTTTGTGTTTGTGACTTATAGGACATCATGATAATTGCCTTCTTTAACATCACATCTACAGGGTAAGGTATTTACCTGCCTTACATATTCCTTAGCATCCTCTTAAAAACCACCAGTTAATGAAGTTTGCACATATAGGTCATAACTCTTGTGGTTAAAGATTATGTCCTGTTTCTCCATGATTTAAAGTGGAGCTGTAACACCCAGTGGGAGAAAGATGTGAAGTTCTAAAGTTAACATATAAAGTGGAATATGTGTGTAGGGGGCTTTCTCTTAAATTGCATAAGTCATTTATGAAAGAATAGAATGTACTAGGTTTTCTGGGTTCACAAAGTAGCTGATCTGCAATTAGGGACTTTTATTTATGAAACAAAACCTGCTTAAATACTGGACTCATATTCAGCGTGAGGAGAGGCATGTTGGAACTAGGAAGAACTAAAAAAACAGCAGATCAGGCCTTTTATTTAATGCCCCTAGAGTAACTCTTGTGGGGAGGAGTGGCAGACAGGTTTGATACATAGAATTATTTTGGTTGCTTACTTGCCAGTTGCATATAGTTCAATATTTTTTTTGACCTAAATGTACATTTGATGTTACTCCATTATAACTCCCCCCTTGCCTCCTTTTTTAAAGGATTTGAGTGTCAAAGTAATCATCTCAGTTAACTTGTTTTCCAGACAAGTTTTTTGAGACATTCTTTTTCATTTCTATTGAAGTCAAATATACATATTAACTGTATCAGAGTTTTAAGGTTTCTTTATTGAACACTTTAAAGTTTTAAAGTAGAATAATCCTTGTTTGGTTACTTGCTGGCCTGGCAAGTTCAGTAATAAAGGATTAATATTGTGCCATTTTTAGTAGCTGTGTATGCTAGTACTATATATTTTAAAGGCCTGTAAAATAGTAACTTTTGCCACCCACTTAGAAAGGTAGGCATGTTGTATGGATTAAGTTATCTACCATTTCTGTTTATTGATTTTGTGTGTTTTTGTACAGGTTGTTTTCCTGTTGCATCTTTGACATAGTTTCCTAGACTTTGCTCCATGATTTAACTTGAAAATCTGAAATGAAGATGGAGGAGGCAGTGGGAAAAGTTGAAGAACTCATTGAGTCTGAAGTCCCGCCAAAAACATCTGAACAAGAGACAGCTAAGGAGGAAGATGGAGCTGTAGAACTGGAATCTCAAGTTCAGAAGGATGGTGTAGTAGATTCTGCAGTTCTTTCTTCGATGCCCTGCTTGTTGATGGAGCTGAGAAGGGACTCTTCTGAGTCTCAGTTAGCATCCACGGAGAGTGACAAGCCGACAACTGGTCGAGTTTACGAGAGTGATTCCTCTAATCACTGCATGCTTTCCCCTTCCTCTAGTGGTCACCTGGCTGATTCAGATACTTTGTCTTCTGCAGAAGAGAATGAACCCTCCCAGGCAGAAACAGCAGTAGAAGGAGACCCTTCTGGAGTGCCTGGTGCCACAGTTGGGCGCAAGTCTCGGCGGTCCCGATCTGAAAGTGAAACATCCACTATGGCTGCCAAGAAAAACCGGCAATCCAGTGATAAACAGAATGGCCGAGTTGCCAAGGTTAAAGGTCATCGGAGCCAAAAGCACAAGGAGAGAATCAGGCTACTGAGACAGAAACGGGAGGCTGCTGCACGGAAGAAATATAACCTGTTGCAGGACAGTAGTACCAGTGACAGTGACCTGACTTGTGATTCAAGCACAAGCTCATCAGATGATGAAGAAGAGGTTTCAGGGAGCAGCAAGACAATCACTGCAGAGATACCAGGTAGAGGATGTTTTTTAAACTGACTGTAGAGCACCTGATGGAATTTCACAGCTGTCAGGCTCAGTTAGATGAGTGACGCTTGAAAAAATCCAGGAGACCTGCAGCTCTGTGTAAATTTGAAGACTGCAGTGTATTAACAAGACATGGCCAATTAAAAAAACCTGTTCTGAGGTTTCCAGTGCACTTTAGCACATCAGCAAAAAATATTTAAGTGGTTAATGATAGGGACAAGATTATTTTTAAATAATGGAATTTCTCGTAAGTCTTTTCCTCTGTAACATATTATCTGAACTCCCATCATTGCCTTTTAGCATTTCTTAGATTTAATACTCATTGTTCAGCATTATTACTAAGTAAATTCTTCTCAGGAATAGGCACCTTGCTTTATTATTTAGCCACTGTACTTGAGCTTATGGTGTCTGGAATAACATATTCTATCTTTTGTTAAAGTTTTCTAGTAATTGTTCCTCCTAAAACAGTTTTTTGTGTTTTCCCCCAATTCAGTGCATGATAAACCAGTTATCCTTGTTGCACATTTTTCTATTCTGAGTTGTCACTTGCTTTGAAAAGAATGTTTTTTGCAAGATTTCCCCTTAAATCCTCCAAGCTTTAAAAAGTCTGATAGAAATCTGCTTGTTCCAGTTTTTATTAGTATAAAGTGACTTTTTTCTTGTGTTTTTTGAATTATATGAAAATTCCACTATGGGGGGAGATTCTAGTAGAATTTGCAGACTAAAGTTGACCTTAATAGTAGTTGGTGTCATGAGCAGAAAAAATATAACCCTTTTCTTTAGGAGACTTGTATGTTAGAGTGGATTTTTGAAAAGAATACTTCTTTGTGGTATAAAATTAAAGAGGTACAAAACTATGTATTTGAAAGAGTGACTCCTGTTCCCGACTAGTGTTACCATTTTCTTAGGTATTCTCCCAGAGATTCTGTGCATCTACAAATTCATATATAAATTTGTTCTTTATTTATACAAATGATATAATGTACCTTTTTTTGTTCATTTAACACTATATGTTGAAAATTGCTCCATATTTGTATGTAAAGAACCTTTTCATTCTTTATGACCACACTATGTGGACATACGATGGTGAGCACACTGGTGTCCAATTGATGATTGATGCCAGTATTTTTGTTTGATTTTGGGTAAATTTAAGTGGTTTTGATTGCAACACTGGTTGCCTTTTTTAGTCAGCAGAGTCATTGTAAATCTTAACACTTGAAGAACTTAAAAGAAAATCGTTTGATTATTGTGTTATATCGAAGACATTGATATTGTCATGTTTTCTTACAAGGAAAACCAGTCTCCATTCATTGTGCTACCCATGCTATTTATTTATTGAAGAAACAAGAGTTTTATGGTCATTCTAACAAATTTACAACCTGATGTTACAGATGGTATGTACTTTTTAAAAGGAACAGTGCCTTCTGCTTTAAAGAATTGAGACTTCCGATGCTTGTACTTTATGGCTGACATTAATTTCATTTGAGTATATTTATCAGATATTTCAGCTTTAAGAAAAATCTTTATTCCAGAATATATAACTTCACTTTTTACAGAAGAATCAACTCTCATTTTGATTCAGTTAGAAAATCTTGGCTTCTCCCTCAGACCTGGGGTTATTTCATATCTATGAATATTTTATTTCCTGTTTGTGTTGCAAATATACTTCATTTATGATATTGGAAGTTTATTGATTTAACTTTTACTCCCTGTGTTGGCTTTCATAGGTGTTACTTTCCTTTTGGAGTGGTGTTAGAAATAACAGTTTATGCTTATTTGAATTTAACTCAAAAATTAGTAGTGATGCAAATATGCTCACGATATAGACTACCATTGGATTGTCTTAAATTCATAAATGTTTCCAGGGGCCATGAATGTGCTAAACATCACCAGAATGCATGTTTTATCAGCATCCGATAACAGGGCCATAAAAAAGGAAAAGCATATATAGGATATCTGTGTTTACAGAAAGCAAAAGCTAGGCTTGGCATGTTAGATCAGTAAAAGGATTTTTCAGGTATCTTCTAGTTGCTACCTACCAGGCTTTCAACTGTCAGGTAACCTGATGGAGTGAAGTGATGGAGATGTCTTATTGTACCTGACTACATAGTCTGGCTTAGTGTTTGTGTTTGTGACTTATAGGACATCATGATAATTGCCTTCTTTAACATCACATCTACAGGGTAAGGTATTTACCTGCCTTACATATTCCTTAGCATCCTCTTAAAAACCACCAGTTAATGAAGTTTGCACATATAGGTCATAACTCTTGTGGTTAAAGATTATGTCCTGTTTCTCCATGATTTAAAGTGGAGCTGTAACACCCAGTGGGAGAAAGATGTGAAGTTCTAAAGTTAACATATAAAGTGGAATATGTGTGTAGGGGGCTTTCTCTTAAATTGCATAAGTCATTTATGAAAGAATAGAATGTACTAGGTTTTCTGGGTTCACAAAGTAGCTGATCTGCAATTAGGGACTTTTATTTATGAAACAAAACCTGCTTAAATACTGGACTCATATTCAGCGTGAGGAGAGGCATGTTGGAACTAGGAAGAACTAAAAAAACAGCAGATCAGGCCTTTTATTTAATGCCCCTAGAGTAACTCTTGTGGGGAGGAGTGGCAGACAGGTTTGATACATAGAATTATTTTGGTTGCTTACTTGCCAGTTGCATATAGTTGAATATTTTTTTTGACCTAAATGTACATTTGATGTTACTCCATTATAACTCCCCCCTTGCCTCCTTTTTTAAAGGATTTGAGTGTCAAAGTAATCATCTCAGTTAACTTGTTTTCCAGACAAGTTTTTTGAGACATTCTTTTTCATTTCTATTGAAGTCAAATATACATATTAACTGTATCAGAGTTTTAAGGTTTCTTTATTGAACACTTTAAAGTTTTAAAGTAGAATAATCCTTGTTTGGTTACTTGCTGGCCTGGCAAGTTCAGTAATAAAGGATTAATATTGTGCCATTTTTAGTAGCTGTGTATGCTAGTACTATATATTTTAAAGGCCTGTAAAATAGTAACTTTTGCCACCCACTTAGAAAGGTAGGCATGTTGTATGGATTAAGTTATCTACCATTTCTGTTTATTGATTTTGTGTGTTTTTGTACAGGTTGTTTTCCTGTTGCATCTTTGACATAGTTTCCTAGACTTTGCTCCATGATTTAACTTGAAAATCTGAAATGAAGATGGAGGAGGCAGTGGGAAAAGTTGAAGAACTCATTGAGTCTGAAGTCCCGCCAAAAACATCTGAACAAGAGACAGCTAAGGAGGAAGATGGAGCTGTAGAACTGGAATCTCAAGTTCAGAAGGATGGTGTAGTAGATTCTGCAGTTCTTTCTTCGATGCCCTGCTTGTTGATGGAGCTGAGAAGGGACTCTTCTGAGTCTCAGTTAGCATCCACGGAGAGTGACAAGCCGACAACTGGTCGAGTTTACGAGAGTGATTCCTCTAATCACTGCATGCTTTCCCCTTCCTCTAGTGGTCACCTGGCTGATTCAGATACTTTGTCTTCTGCAGAAGAGAATGAACCCTCCCAGGCAGAAACAGCAGTAGAAGGAGACCCTTCTGGAGTGCCTGGTGCCACAGTTGGGCGCAAGTCTCGGCGGTCCCGATCTGAAAGTGAAACATCCACTATGGCTGCCAAGAAAAACCGGCAATCCAGTGATAAACAGAATGGCCGAGTTGCCAAGGTTAAAGGTCATCGGAGCCAAAAGCACAAGGAGAGAATCAGGCTACTGAGACAGAAACGGGAGGCTGCTGCACGGAAGAAATATAACCTGTTGCAGGACAGTAGTACCAGTGACAGTGACCTGACTTGTGATTCAAGCACAAGCTCATCAGATGATGAAGAAGAGGTTTCAGGGAGCAGCAAGACAATCACTGCAGAGATACCAGGTAGAGGATGTTTTTTAAACTGACTGTAGAGCACCTGATGGAATTTCACAGCTGTCAGGCTCAGTTAGATGAGTGACGCTTGAAAAAATCCAGGAGACCTGCAGCTCTGTGTAAATTTGAAGACTGCAGTGTATTAACAAGACATGGCCAATTAAAAAAACCTGTTCTGAGGTTTCCAGTGCACTTTAGCACATCAGCAAAAAATATTTAAGTGGTTAATGATAGGGACAAGATTATTTTTAAATAATGGAATTTCTCGTAAGTCTTTTCCTCTGTAACATATTATCTGAACTCCCATCATTGCCTTTTAGCATTTCTTAGATTTAATACTCATTGTTCAGCATTATTACTAAGTAAATTCTTCTCAGGAATAGGCACCTTGCTTTATTATTTAGCCACTGTACTTGAGCTTATGGTGTCTGGAATAACATATTCTATCTTTTGTTAAAGTTTTCTAGTAATTGTTCCTCCTAAAACAGTTTTTTGTGTTTTCCCCCAATTCAGTGCATGATAAACCAGTTATCCTTGTTGCACATTTTTCTATTCTGAGTTGTCACTTGCTTTGAAAAGAATGTTTTTTGCAAGATTTCCCCTTAAATCCTCCAAGCTTTAAAAAGTCTGATAGAAATCTGCTTGTTCCAGTTTTTATTAGTATAAAAGTATGTAATTTATTACACATCTCACATAGTTGCGTTTTCCATATTACCACGTTTGATACTGTGTACTACAAAGGCAGTCTTGAGATTTCAAAGTGGAGAAAAGATGAGCTCTGAAGAGTTCTTACCTGTTGAATTCTGACTGAGGAGATTTAAGATTAGGAACATTCTGTGAACTACATAACATTTGATAGATCATGACAGCATTGTTTATTGCTACATTAAAAGGGGGAAGTTTTAGTTTTCTTTTTTATGGGTGACTATGTTTTTTCCTCAGTTTCATCAAAAGTTTCTGTTTCTACACAGGAAAGACAACATATTGCTAATATACAAAGGATATTTCAAGACAAATCATATTGGTTAATTAAACCTATAGCTAGCTAAACATAAATTCAATAATAAGGATATTACAGGTTTCCCTCTTATAATAGTCTTATCCATATAGTATATTAAATATATGAGTTTTTAACAGTTGTTAGAAATGTTTACTGTTTTAATACTGAATTCCTGTGGTAGTTCCCTGGGTTAAAAATATTGGGGAGGGGCTAGAATTGAAGTTCATAAGTTGTGTGGTGAGAGAAGCAGACTTTGGGATTATACTAAGCAGGTTCTGGGTATATTTTAGTTTTACATTTAATAATACTTTAAAGAAAGATTTATTATGAACACCTGTAAAATTGTTTCTGCATTCTTTTGTCCTATTCTAATCTATTAGTCAGGATCATGATGGGTCTCTTGATACAATGCTTTTATTCCACTCACTGAACAGATTTTTATGTAATGACCCCAATACTTTGCCTTTTTATGGACAGGGAGAAGGTGAGTGAACAAAATTCTCTTTGAAGATAGACACAATTGTAGAGGTGTTACAAGCAATATCTTCATGGGTACTCTCCCTGTTTGGCTCATATTAGGTTAGGTGTACTTTGTACACTCCAAAACTCTTTACTGATTGACTATCATGACCATTGTTTAAAAATTCCAAAGCACCAGTGGTCTGTTTCTTGTGTATTCTAAATTGTATAC